CATGGAGCTGATATCTTATGTTGGATTGATGAAAACAGTTACCAGGTTTGCCAATTTCTATGAAACTCTTGTTAAAGAGTTTATTGTTAATATTCATGTTGGTTGTGTAGAATTTTATCCTGCTATCCTAAATAGATTTCTAGATAAGTCTGAAGATGTCTGCTGTGAGCTGGAAGTTACAGATAATCAAGTGTGCGGAGTCATCACTGCTAATCAAGTAAGTGAGTCGCCCATGAAAAATAAACTTATTGTCAGCAAACTGAGTGTGAAATATTCTATTTTACATAGGATTGGAACTGCAAATTGGATTCCCACTAATCACACTTCAACCATCTCCATTGGATTAGGAAAGTTCATTTATGGTATTGGAAACTAGAAACATTTTGATTATAGGACTTACATCTTTGATGAGACCATTAAACATGCAGGAACTTGTGCCATTAAGATGCCAATTTAGTTTCCTTCCCTCCTCTGTGGAATTATCCTTAATCAGCATCCTGGAATCCTAAGTGGAAATGATGTAGTGTGCAAGAGGGAGTTTGCCTTGACCCTTCATTTTAAGCTCTTTTCAGGAAAACATGTCTCAGACATTGTATTGACATATACACCTGCTGAAAAGACCTCCACCAAGGATGATATGATCAAAGAATTAAGAGAATCCTGCAAGAAATTGGATGATGTGATCAGAGTTAGCTCAGCAAAGAAGCTAACCTTTGAAAAGATGATCAAGGACCTGCAAAAGGACAACAACCTTGATGATACAGTGAACTCTGAAGGTGAAGAGTCTAGTGAGGAAGAAAGTTCTGGCTCAGACAAGTCAATTGGTCCTGATGACAGTTAGACTAATTGATGTTTCTTTATATGATCATTTTGTTTCCTTTTAGCACTTGCATGTGTTTGACATTTGATTTCTATGTTCTGTACCTAAATTACTAATACACTCTTGAATACATCTGTTTATTTGGCATATTATGACTAAAAAGGAGAAGAGAGTGTGACTGACTAACATTTGATTGAGGGGGAGCTTAATACTTGAGGGGGAGCCTCATGTCTTAGAAGATGTTTTGACATCTTCCTTTGCTAACAGCTAACTGCTAACTGAGTTTATGTTTGCTTTGCTTATGCTGTTAATCTATTTTCGCTCTGATAATATGCTCTGATAATGTTTTAGCCAAAATTTGTCAAAGGGGGGAGTTTGTAAGTGTTTGTTGGCAGCAATTTTGGTAAAACAATATGCTGTTAATATTTTGATAAATGTCTTGACATTTGTAGAAAACTGTTTTGAATAATGTCAAAGCAGATGCCTTGACATCTGCCTCCAGAACTGATTTCAGCCAACATCAGTATATGTTTTTCTGTTTCCTGATTTCCAGCACTCCATAATTCAAGATTTGTGACTCACATGCAGCGAAAAATATGGAGGAATATTTTTAAAAATGCACGGATTTTATCATGACCTGTTTTTATGGAAATATTCAAAAGAATTGAATATTGGGTTTTAAAGCCCAAGCCCACAACTACACATATATAAGGACTTGCTTCCTTATTCAAACCACTGCAACTTTTGAAGAAGAATACTTTCTTTCTGTTTTAAAAAGTCTAAGTCTTTTAATTGTCAAACACTCTAGTATTGATTGAATACTTGTGTTGTTATTTGGGTTGTTAATTGTGTATCATTCATAAGCTTTTAAGCATTAAATGATTGAAGTTTTTAAACTTATTATTTTTGTTGTTTCTTCACTGTAAGTGATTGAAGGGATTTGAGGAGGGCCTCATACCTAGGTGAGTCTTAGGTAGAAGTATAGCACGGGTAGTGATTAAGTGATTAGATTGTAAACTGGTTATTTACTGAGGGTCTATGAATTGATATTGTTTAGTGGACTTGTCCCTGGCTTGGTAGCCTCCAGAGTAGGTGTTGTTGTACACTGAACTGGGTGAATAATCCCTTGTGTTTTTACTACTTTTGTTATTACTGCTCTTTACTTGTAAATAGATATTTGTGTCGTGACATCTCATTCGACATCACATATCTGATACCAAAATTTCACATATAATCATAGTATCCCTGCACCAAAACATCCTCACATCACATAATAAAAAATATATAAAACATCATTAGAATCCAACACCAGTCACCAATACGCATAACACATATACATGTCAATTTACACAACCACACAATGATAAAATCACCTACTGCTAATAAAACTATTTTTATTGAAAAGATTATCATGCTAGCTATTTAACACTTCGAACGGGGACTCAAACAATGTTACAGTTCAAAAGTTATGACCAAAACGATTTCGAAATGCAAACGCCAGAAAGTTGACACGGCCACCCGTGTTAGCTAACACGGACCGTGTCAGAGCAAAAAAAAACAACTTTTTCACGCGATTTTGTTTTTGTTTTTCAACCTTTCAACAAACTCAAACCCCAAGTTTTGACCTCCAACAATCCCAAAACATATTATATCACAAGACACGTGAACCAAGGAAGAAAAACACATTACAACACCATTACCCATCATATTCAAGGATTCATTATCAAAATTTAACAATTTCAAAACTATAAAATTTAGGGATTTCATTCTAAATATGTTTTTATCCATTACATATATCACATACTTCCATAATCAAGTAAAAATTCACCCTTACCTTGGATGTAGATCCTTTTCTAGGATTCTCCCTTCTTCTCTTCTCTTTTCTCCTCCTTTTCTCTTTCTTCTCTTCTCTTATTTTGACAACTTCTCTCTCTAGATCTATTTTTTCTTTGTTTTTATATACCAACTTTTGTTTTACTCTAATGGACTCATCTCACTCACTCACACTAATGTGACACATAAGACCCAATTAATTAACAATGTTATTCTCACACTTACTAACCTAATTACACATATAACACGTATTCCCAATTTATAAAATAAATCATATATGACACATCACAACAATTAATCCAAATAACTCACATATTCACAAAATCACACAATTAATTAATTAATAATAAAATAAATAACTAATAAAATAAATAACTAATAAAATAACTAGTAAATAAAAATCGAGGTGTTACAATAATGATGACGATAATGAGTAGTTGTCTTTATTGAATTTTTCCATGTTTCTCTGTGTGCTTTATATTTATGTCTTTATCATTTTGTAATAAACTTTTTTCTTCCCTTATAACACTCAATTTTATTTGCTTATATGTGATATATGTGGTATATTAGTTGTTTACTATTCTTATTTATTTTTCCTGTCTTTTTGATAATGCTAAAGAGAGATAAATATACTCTCAAGGAGAGTATAAGTGAAGGGGAGTTAGCCACTCCAAATCTCTTTGCTATCTCTTTCTATTTTATCATCTTTTTTAGTGATGTGTTATCATTATTAAAAAGGGAGAGAACATATTATAATGTGTTGTCCATGTAATATCGTCAAATAATTTTTATGATGATAATTAGTAAATAATTGTGATAATAACAATTGTCAAATAGTTTTAATCACGCCACCTCTTTCAAAATATAAGAGAAATAAAAAATATTAAATAAAATGATACATGAATAAGATAAAATAGAAAAACAAAAACTATAATTAAATCTAATATATTATGTTAAGAGTCTCACGTCAGACAATATATTGCATGAACATGTCCTTATAAGTGGGAGCAGTCCTCAACCTACAAGTTGATTTTGTAGGGTTGAGTTAGGTCAAACTACATTTCTTAACATGGTATCAAGAGCGTGATTTAAGATCCGATGGACCACCTGTTATGCGGTTTCCGCTATCGGGTCACCCACCATTCATTTCCATCTTTTAGATGTCCAGTCTTGGACGAGAAGGGGTGTGTTAAGAGTCTCACATCAATTAGTATATGGCCTGAAGATGTCCTTATAAGTGGGGGGAAATCATCACCCTACAAACCAGTTTTGTAGGATAGAGTTAGACATAACCACTTTTTTTAGTATGGTATCAAGAGCCTCGTTCAAGATTCGGTGGACCACCTGCTATCAAGTTTCTGCTATTGGGTCATTCCCCATTTACTTTCATGTTTCAGATGTCCAGTCCTGAACGTGGGGGTGTGTTAAATGTCTCACATCGAACAATATATGGTCTAAACATGTGTTTATAAGTGGGAACAATCTACATCCTACAAGTCAGTTTTATAGGGATGAGTTAGACTCAACCATATTTCTTAATATAGTATCAAGAACCTTGTTTAAGATCTGATGGATCACTTGCTATCAAATCTCCACAATCGAATCACTCACCAATTATTTCACGCTTTAGATGTCCAATTTTATGTTTGAGGGAGTATGTTAAGAATCTCAGATCAGATAATATATGATCTGAACATATCATTATAAATGAAAACAATTATCATCTTACAAACTAATTTTATAGAATTAAGTTAAATCCAACTACAATTATTAACATATTCTCTATTCACATTTTTAGAAATCAATATATCACAACACACATATATTTTCACATGTGTAAATCAAATGTTTAACCAAATACTTAAAGAAACTCAATTTATGAGATCAATGTATCACAACACACATATATTTTCACATGTGTAAATCAAATGTTTAACCAAATAGTTAAGAAACTCAAACATTTATATTACATCATATGGATGAATATGTTTTCTCAAGCATTTGAAATGTTGTATTAAAGAAGCACATTTAATGTCGTTTAATTTTCCTATTCATTACACTCAATAATTTTTCTTAATAATATTAAATTAAATCAAAAAACATGTTCAAAAAATTCAGATGTCAACCCAAAGACACTAACATAAACAAACAAACAAAAAAAAAACATGTGTTTGACTGAACAACACTCTGTCTCTCTTGGTCAATAAACTACCATCTATTTCCTAGAATCTTCTTCCTAAAATAAACAAATATAAATTATCTCTTATTTATTTTTATTTTTCAATTATTACTTCCCTTTTCAAACCACACACTTTTTTTTCTTCTTTTTCGTCTTAATAACACCACCATGAACCTACCGGAATTTCCCTCCGGCGGATCCTTAACGCCGTCTCCAAAGAAAGAGCTACAAATACAAGGCGCACGTCCACCGCCTCTCAGAGTCAGCAAGGAGTCTCACACAATCCGGAAACCACCTCTTCCTCCGGCGGCTCACCACCATCCTCCAGCAGGAGCCTCACAGCACCGACAACCCCTCATAATCTACTCCGTTTCTCCGAAAGTCCTCCATGTTACTGAAAGTGACTTCATGGACGTCGTTCAGCGTCTCACGGGACCTTCAACTAGCGATGAAGCTAATCAGCAATCAGGAGCGGTTTCCCCGGCGGCGAGACTTGCTTCTATAGAAAGAACGAGTCCGACGGAGAGAGAAAGGGCTCCAAACGTAGATGATGAATTGACGTGGTTGTTAGAAGGAGTTGAAATGGGACAGTTCCCTGGGATATTATCGCCGGCACCGGCGGCTTTACCGCCGATATCGCAGGGGTTTTTTTCACCGATGAATGAACCACAAACGACGCCGTTTTGGCATGATATGAGTCCGTTTTGGTATGGGAGTAACTTCGTGGGGAGTCCGTCGGGGTTGCTTTCTGCCGCCGTGGTTTCGCCGTTGCCGTCGCCAGATCTGTTTAGTATTTTTGACTAATTTTTTATTTATTTTTTTATGAAATGTTTTTTTTGACTTTTCAATTTTTCATTGATGATTTTGATTAGGAAGGTTGAAAATTCAACATTCATTCACTGACTTTTTATGCCATATCAACCATAAGTTTTGTTTTGGTCTTCTGTATATCGGTGTAATGGGAAAAAAATGTCAAATAAAATGTACAAGAATTTGGTCCACTATTCTGTCTTAGAATTGGTTGGAATTATATTTCTCTCAACCACTTGAGATTCTTGCTACTTGTTTATTTGGATTTGGATTTGTCTTTGTCTTTAGTTTTTTATTTCTTTTATTTAAATGCAGCTTTTTCTCTTTTTCTTTCTCATGACATCATATGAAATGTACCCACCAATATGGTGTTCAGAGAAGACTTATGTCACCCATTAAAGAGGTTGTCGAGTTATCTATTATAAATCTATAAAAATGATAGTCCCTGGAAATTACCACAACACCACAGCTGAAAAAATTCATTGTTGGTCTATTGTATTGGGGTAAAATTGGAAACTCCAAAATATCTTGCACCACATTGATTTGAATCTGATGTGGCACTCCCACAATTTTTCACCACATTTTCAATTTTTTTTAAAAAAATAAATCCCACATATTATACTGTTTTTTAAAATAAAGAACCAATTCAATTTATTGTGCGGGCAGCGTGAGAAACCCAACCATGGGGAATACCAATTCATTATTCCTTGCCATTCATTGTGCCTCTCTTCCTCTTCCCCATGCCAAACCATTATGTCTCTCTTAATCAGAATTCAAATTCAAATGGAACACCAAAAGTTTTTCACTCTTCCTTCAATCCTTCCCCAATGTGTACTTATGTATAACCTCCATTGCTTAACACCTTCCAGTCGTTTTCATTCACGCAAGCCATTGCTACAGACGTCCCTTTCGTTTTCATTCACGCAAGGCTCTCTGCGCTGTTACGAATCGCTGCGTGACGATGGCGCGCCCAATCGAGTATATCAGTAGCATTGACGATTCGAAGGATTTGTGGAAGGTTGCTGTTAGATGTAAGCATCTGTGGTCTGTTACCAGTTCTCAGAATAGAGAGCACTTAGAGCTTATTCTGTTTGATTCAAAGGTATAATACAATCTAAACGTTTCTGCTTTGCCATTCTGATTTTGTTGTAACAGTACTGGTATATGATACTGATTTCAAGATGTTTGTATTTTCACAGTTGGATTTGATTCAAGCCATTGTGCCATCTTATTTGGTATCAAAATTCAAAACACAGCTTGAACTTGGTTGTTCCTACATAATGCAGAATTTCAAAGTTTCCAGCAATGATTTCTCCTTCAAATCCACTGATCATAAGTTCAAATTGATTTTCTGTGGTTCAACTTCCGTCAAAAAGGTCCAACTTGCTGACATACCTCTGAACCACCTCAAGTTAATTGGAATAAATGCTATTATTGAGGGTAAATACAGAACGAATTTGTTATATGGTGAGTTACATTTTTACTGTTATAATAGAACACATTGTATTGTGACTTCTCCGTTATACATAACTGTCTGTGGTGAACTTTTGTGCAGATATAATTGGTGGGGTTACTGAAATATCCCAAGCCCAGATAATTCCTGATAACAACAAAAGCAAGGTTGTGTTTTCATTAACTGATCTGAGGTAGGTGTTTCATTTTGTTTGTTAACATTGATGTTGATAAATATAAAAGTCTAACATGTTCATGTTGTTTGTTTTGTAATTCCTGTCAATCAGCAAACATCATGTGCAATGTACTCTTTGGGGTAAATTAGTTGTGCAACTGAATGAGTATTATACGACTCATAAGGCTGATGGTAGTATTGTTCTCCTACTTATGAATGCAAGGATCAAGGAACCTCAAGGTATGCTATGTGACTATTTCTTATTATATCTAATTATTATATCCAACTTTAAGTGTTGTCATTTATAAATATCTCAATTTTCAGGAAATTATCCTTTAAATGTATCAAATGCTTGGAACGGCACAAAACTGTTCATCAATGATTTGTCTATTGAGGAGGTTAAAAACCTTAAAGAGAAGTAAGTGATTTTATTATGAAGTTATGAATTAGCAACCTATGATTACTAACAGCCTGTTTTCATTCTGATCTATGTACATCAGACTTAAAGATGATCTGTCGACGCTCTCATCCTCGAGCATGCAAATGGAAACCACAAATACCTCTGTTTTTTCTGATTTGGACAAATTTGTATGGAAAGCTGAAGTGTTGAGTCTGTCTGATATTGCATATCTGCAGACTGTAAGTTGCTCTTCAATACATGATTGTCTTAGATTGAGGAATTACACAGACTGGGTTCTAATCCATTTTTTGAGACATCATCCCATCTTTCTGTTTCAGGAAACTACATGTGTGACTGTTGCGACTCTGGAGAAGTTTGAATATGGGCAGTCAGGATGGTATTATGATGGATGTAGTGAATGTACCAAAAGTGTGACTTTGAAGGATGGAAAATTCATGTGTTATTCCAAACACATCAGTTCTGAGCCAGTCTCAAGGTAACTTCTAAGTATTGCATATCAATGATTATCATCATATAACCAAACGCTTCATTACTGACAATTTCTTATTTTGATCACGCATGGTACATATTTAAGCTTGAAGTGCTTGCCTCCGATGGAAAGTTAAAATACAAGTTCGTATTTTGGGATGTAGATTGTGTAAAGTTGATTGGGAAGTCCGCCCTTCAGATGAAGTTGGATTTGATGGAGGTATTTTCCATTTGGCTAATATGTAAGTTAGATAATTACCACATAAATAACATATATTGTTTTAATCATTTAGACTGGAGATTTTGATCCCCTTGAATTCCCTTATGAACTTGATGTGATGCTGAAGAAGGAGTTGGCTATAAGAGCAGTGTTTCAACCAAACAAGGCCAGTCTTTCTGTAATCGGATTTAAGGCAGATGAAGTGCTACGTACCAAAATAAAGGAGAGGTTTAAATGTGAAGAGGTACTGCTGTACTCATGTTTTACTGTTGTTAAAATCAGTATCATGTGCATTGGATTTTTTTAACAATTGTTTAAAACTTGCAGCACACTTCAAAGATTGTCGTCTCAACAGATGACACTCGGGATGATATGCATACAGCATCGGTATGTTTTAAATAGGAACGACCTATTACTCTTGCCATCACATTTTGAACAATTGTCTAACGTTTATTTCTTGCGTTTTTTAACTTGCAGTGTACTCCGACCATCACCACCTCGGAAAAACAGTCTCATGATGATCCACAAACAGTTTCAGTGCGTCTTTTTTTAGCTTTCAACATTAACAAATTAGCCTATTAAACAATGTCTTACTTCCTTTTTTATGCTACTGATTTTGTAATGACTCTTTAATGGCAGGATCCGTTATCAATCACTGCAGATTATGACCCTTCAGTTGCCAACTCTGCACTTACACCGTCAAAAAGATCTATTCCTGAGACAGTTGAAGAACTCGACAGTGCCCAACTATCGTCCACCAAGATAATAAGGGACATCAAGCTGGAGAAATGATGCAGTCAATTATCGTCGATGATTTATTTTTACTTTAAGTTGTTTTGGACAATATTGCACACCTTATTTTGATTGATGTAATGAAATATTTCTGGTTTACATTTTGTTTATTCTGGTTTATGAGGATTTGATTTGTCATTCTTGCTTTTTGTTTGATCCTTTTGACATTGTATATGAATGAATGATATGATTTTAGTCATTTAAGCTGCAAAAAACTATGTATAATTTACACTGCAAAAAGCAATATGATGTTGGTAATTCCTTATTTTGTTTAATATAATAAATTTCTTCTGTTTTCTTTTGGAAAATCAGTGGCCAACTGTGTATGCAACGGAGTGTTTTTGGTTACCCCACACAACATCCTTTTCTTTTTTCATTTACATATTTGGAAACCTTTGAAAAACATTATCTCACCTAATGACGGAGTATTTGGAGTTACCTTATCACCACATCCTTTTCTTTTTTCATTTACATGTTTGGAAAACTTTGAAAAACATTATCACACCTAATGATTTGTTTTACCTTACAGAATTGTTACATATTTTTTCTCCGTAATTCTAAACCATTAAAATATAATCCCACAATTTGCCATTTCAAAATTCTTTTTGATGACGGATGTATATTTGTTATGAATTGAACTTTGATATAACTTTAATGTTGTATTTAGTGGCGCTTTAAATTACACTGTCATCTAATCTGTTGAGTTGTTAACTTAGTGTCTTTGAAAGGAAAAAAATGTTTCTCTTTATGTCTTGATGCTGGACAATCCATATTGTTTTGCATACTTTATGCATAATACACGATAGTATATCAGCATACTGTATATTAATCTAAAAAACTAATACATGAATAACAGATTATGCATAGCAGAAATCCATGACACTTGATTAATATAAATTGTTACTGGATAATACCGGAAACGATATGCAATTATCTCATCAACGCAAGATATGGAACTAATTTCGTATCATCCCATTTAACAAATCATAAGCAGATTGTACATTGAGCCGTAGCCCAACAATATCAAATAACAAAACTAATAACAAAGACAAATGGGCATCAAATAGATTTTAAAAACAAATAGTTATGCATTTCCGCCCATACAAAAATAATCCCTCCTTTTTGCCATGATGCTTCCCATGTAATCCAATCAACAACTCCTTTCAATGCTGCCCTCTCTCAACTTTGACCAATATACGTTCCACAGGAGGATGCTCTACACTGAATAAGAGAACGTCACCTTTCGACAGCTCTTTGTCCTTTGCAAATTTAAACCAGCCCCTTGACAGAAACTTCTCGGTCATGTTCTCCCTGGATTTGAAAACACATTGGTACGTAATACCCGAGTCTGTGTCATGAAGATCAATATATGATCTTGGTTCCATGAAGATTTCCTTGATGACTGCTGCTGGAAAGTGCTGCAACATTAAAACTTTATTAGCTATGTCTATTCATTCAATGTTATGCATCCTTACAAACTGTAACAACAAACAGATCAAGAGCTTACAAGAACTTGATTTTTTATCTGGCTGCTGCTCTTAACAACTTTCTGCCATCTGCAAACAAGTTTCTCTTGCATGGCAGGAGGTTGTACAACATCAGCAGCATCAGTAGTGTTGTTCTCCTTGCTGCATTAACAAACACGATTATTTAAACTACTAATTTGCAAAGTCAAATATTCAAATGTATATATGTAACCTAAAAGCCCTTGCCTGTCCAACACATCGCCCGCTGATTCCATTGCTTCATCAGTGGAATTCTGTTCAGGCTCATCGTCTGATATGTCAACAAGCCATCCCTCCTCTCTGGCTATTTCAAAGTACTTTTCCACTGATAGACAGCTTCTCACCTTTCCTGTTCTCAGTTCGTACGATTCCTCTCTTTCGACATACTCATAGTATTTGTCCATAAGTTCAGCATGTGTAAAATTTATGCAACTCCTGCTGCTTAATAAAAAAAACAACAAACATCATGCATTCAGTTTTTTGTTTTTTTCACTATCAATATGAAAATACACTCATTCCAGAATACTGTTTTACCTTGAAGAACTTTCAGCTTCCTCTTTCCTCCTCTTAGCCTCTACATGCAACTTTCTCCATTCTTCTGCTCTGTCCCGCTTATCCTCTAATTGCTTCCAAACCTTTTGGATAGCCAGATTTTTCCATTTAGGATTAGGAGTCGTGGTTGTGTGACTTCTACCAACGAATCCCCTACATATAAATTCATTCATGCCCATCATGCACACAGACATCTTTGTATAAACCCTAAATGATCTCATTGCAAGTTTAGAAACATGTGTGTCAAAACGGAAGAACTTACCTGCGGGAACACCAACGTAGATACTCTTTCTTCATCGTATTGGTTGGCCGGCGCTGTCTGGAGCAGAACGCTGTTTCAAAGGTGTACCGTCTTCTTGGAATGTTGTTTCTGATGGAAAACCGAAGAGACAGGGAGATGGAGTAAAACTGACGTTAGACAATAACTTTTGTTGGCCCAACAAGCAAGCATTAGTTACATAAGACACTATACATGACATGTAGAATACAAACAGTTTTTGATCATTCCATTTTATATCCCTTGGAAAATGTATATTTTTGGAAGTACTTTTAATTTTACACATTTACATCAAACCATGGTTACATGTTACAAACAAAAATAAAATGATGATAGTATAGAATACAATAGGAATAACCTTTGGTTTCCAATGGCAATTTTGTGTTTCCAACATAACAGTATTTAATGTCATATTATAATATTTGGTGTTCTAATAATTGTTTAAAGTTTGGCCAACATATGGTATTGATGTGATATTAACTTTTTAAACCTCTACCCATAATTGTTAAGCTTTGGTAGCATATACTGTAATGATGAAACACAATTAATGTTATATAGCAACTTCACTGATGCAATGCACTGTACCCTATCTCATATCCAATGTACAAATAGAGTATCTGAGTACACTTAAAAATTAGAATACAAATGTTATGAACTGCAAAACCAAACAATTCCATATAGGTTTGTTACTCTTACATTCATTATGTTATACTTATGAAGAGTTGTAAGTTATCAACCATATTCTCTTTCAACTATGAACAACCATTTTGTAGATAGGAAATACTCTGCATCACTTGCAAGACAAAAGAGGAAGCATGTTCTTGATGAAAGAAGATTTAAGAAGAATAGAGTTAATGAAAATTCAACTGAGCACAATCATGACCTAAATAATTCAAGTTATGTAAGCAGACATCATACAAGACAGCCACTTTCTGATATCAGTTCTGTTTTTGTCAATGGCCATGGAGATGTTTCTGCACGAACAGAGTGCGTAATGCTTAATTCCCAACAAAGGAGAAGGAGTGTTGGTTTTAACCAGTGCACAACCCCAACACCTGCATCTTCCCCCAGCTTCTCATGCATTTCTACTGATACAATTTCTCCCAAACAAATTTCTGCTTCAGCACGTCAAAGAAGGAGGTCAATAATGAAGCGTAAGAGTCCCCAAAACAACAGCCATCGTGGTTATCTGCAGATCAAACTCGCTGATAGAATGCCCTTTTGTTCCCCTTTACCGTTTGATGCTAACACACCTCTGAGTGGCGTTACCTCCTCATCAAGTATTAAATGAAAAAATAATTCATATGGACTACCGACTTCCTATGCATCTTCATCCAACAAACATCTTGATCCAAATCTAATTCGTTCAACAACTGCGAATCTATTAAAAACCTTTTCAAGTGTTACAGAAACGACGTCAACTTCCCTTAATACCAATCTGTTCAGAAGTGCTGACTCAGTGAACCCAGTTCAACAATCAGTTGCAGACTATTCATCCGATGAATCTTTAACCGATAGTTCGTGTGAATTCATAAATGAAGATCCGGATTATGATACAAGTTCAAGTCTGGACAACGACGAAGATCATTCTGCAAATGTCCCAACAATTGATTGCACAAATGCTGGTATGTATTGCTGGAATTATTATTAATAGCAAACCATAACTTAAATTCACTGTCATGCAGTTTGGTGTCTATGAATATACTGATGTGTATAAGATATATGATGTTTCGTTCTATCTGATAAATACAGGATATTCAGATATTGGTGATCCTTCCATTGAATGCACTCAGTGTGGAGCACAAATGTGGTATCAGGAGAAGGTTGTCAAGAGAAAACATAGTGCAGTGCCTAAGTTCCAATTATGTTGTGGAAAGGGTAAAGTTGTGTTGCCACTTCTGAGAACACCACCACCGTTTCTTAAACATCTTCTGTCGAATGAAAACGATGTACTATGTAGAAATTATCAGCAGAATTGCAGACTGTACAACATAATGTTTTCATTTACGTCTCCTAGAATGAAAATTGACAATAGATTCAATAATGGAAATGGACCACCTAACATGAGAATTCAAGGGCAGGCTTGCCATAGAATTGGTAGCATGATGCCTGTGCATGGCGAAAAACCGAAATTCGCCCAGCTTTATATATACGACACTGACAATGAGATTCATCATAGGATGCAAGGAATAGGGTTATGTTTCTTAAGCCAACTGAGATGCCTACTTTATATTACCTTTGTTATTATCGTGCATGACATGTGTCTAATTTTTTAATGCAGCAACAACCAGAATATTATTGAAGAAACTGTTAGCCGAATACAGAACATGCTTGACGAATTCAACACACATGCTAAATATTTTAGAATGGCATCAACTAGACTAAAGGATTGTCTTGTACCTGACCTCAAGTTGAAGTTAATATCTGATAGATTAAAGGACGGAAGAATTTACAACCAACCCACCGTGTCTGAGGTTGCAGCCCTCATTGTTGGTGATGTTGATACAGGCTCAAAAAGGGATATTATCCTTGAAAGACAAAGCGGTAGACTAAAACGAATAAGTGAGTTTCATCCGAGCTATCTTGCATTACAATATCCACTTCTGTTTCCGTACGGGGAAGATGGATTTAGACTTGGTGTTCTACACAGAGAGACAATTCCCAAA